TAGGTTGGCAGAACTGCGGGCGCCTGGATTAGCGGCTGCTGATGCGGCGTGGGGCTCGGCTTAGTGAGGCGTGATCTTAGGCCCTCATAATGGACGTCTAGGTCAACATGGCGGTTGATGCTATCCGCGTTAGAGTGCCATGACTCTAGGAATTCTCTCGCCCGTTTTGTGTTGGCCGTGGCGATGACCTCGGTGTTATCCCAATTAAAACGGTGGTCGCAGTGGAGTGCGTGTGCAAAGACGAGGGACAGTGGATCACGGCGACGGACAGCTAGTTTGTGTTCATTAATACGAGTTCCCTGGCGTCGTCCTGTATGACCAACATATACGCAGGGACAATTGGCACACGGGATGCGATAAATGACGTTAGTCTGTTCCTCTTTGGGGATAGAATCTTTTACTCGAGTTAAGATTGTGCGCAGCGAGGATGCAGGTTTGTGGGAAACGCGAATACCGAACTGACTTAACTGACGGGCGATCATTTCTGAGGTCCCCTGCATATAGGGCAGGGAGAAGAATTTCCGCGTCACGGTTTCTCCATCTGAGGAGGGGTCTCGAGGTTGTGCCTGACGTCTGAGGCAGTTCTTCACGAAACCGACTGGGTATCCGTTAGATCGAAATAGCCGATATAGAAAGCCTAGTTCTTTCTTCAGCAGATCTTCATTGCTGCAATACCGGTAGGCCCGGTGGAAGAGTGTTCGGACGCAGCTTCTTTTGTGAGCCGCAGGGTGATTGCTTCCATAATTGAGGATGATCTCAGAATCAGACCCTTTTCTATGGACGCTGGTTGCGAGGTTACCGTCATCCAGCCTTTGTATTTTCACGTCCAGAAACGACAGAGTGTCTCCTACTGCCTCTTCGCGGGTAAATTGTATGGCCGGAAAGACTTCATTCAGCCTCTGATGTAGCCTTTCGACATCGCGGTTCTTTACTACGACAAAGGTGTCGTCTACATAGCGGAGCCACATTTTGGGGTTGAGAGTTTGAAAAACCTCATGTTCTAGTCGCTGTAGCACTAGTTCGGCGAGCAGACCGGATATTGGGGAGCCCATTGAACTTCCCTTCACCTGTTGGTAGTACTTATTGTCGAACTTACAATAGTTCTTAAGGCACAGTTGGAGCAGTTCTATAACGTGGTGCGCTGGGATACCAACAGGATTGTCCTGTAGCCGTTGGGCTACGCAGTCAATTGCCAAGTCGTGCGGTATAGAAGAAAATAAGGCAACGACGTCAAAAGACAAGAAGCATTCATCAGTGCTTACATTGAGGCCGTCAATCCGGTTGAGGAATTCGTGGGAGCTGTTAATGCTGTAGCGAGATCCCTGAGTTAGCGGCTTTAGATGCTTGTACAGCCACTTGGCTAAATTGTAGGTAGGGGATCCGATGAGCGGTACTATAATCCTCAGTGGGGCACCAATTTTGTGAACCTTTGGGAGACCGTATGCGTGTGCGACATGGGGATCATTGAGGGTCATAAACTTTGAGTCATCTGGACCTATGCTTTCAGGCGAGCAAGCTCATTAACCTTTTTCTTGATGGCTGCGGCTAGCTTTTTCGTTGGGTCTTCGGTGATAATGGTGTAAGAATCCGTGTCACTGAAGATTATATTCGCCTTGTTGACGTAGTCAGTTTTGTCCATGATGACGGTAGCGCCACCTTTGTCGGCAGGAACAACAACGATGCTGTGGTCCGATTTCAGTGCTCGCAATCCTTGCGCTTCTTCGGCCGGTAGAGTTTGCTGGTGTCTTTTTTGCCGGAGGATACCAGTGGCACAGCTGCGTATGTCCGCGCGCTTGTCTTCAGGCAGGACAGAGGTCAGTAGAATGGATTCGAGACCAGCTAGAAAGTTGGTAGGTGTAGCATCCGTGGGATTAAATCCTATTCCCTTAGACAGGAGGTTGATTTCAGCCGGTAGGAGATTCCTTTTCGAGAAATTAACAACTCTCGTGGCCATACTTCTTTCATTCATGGGGCGGAGCAGAGACTGGAGTTTCATCTGGAGGTCAGCTCTCTGTGTTGACCTAGACGTCCATTATGAGGGCCTAAGATCACGCCTCACTAAGCCGAGCCCCACGCCGCATCAGCAGCCGCTAATCCAGGCGCCCGCAGTTCTGCCAACCTACCATTCTCCCTCCCCTCCAACACGGCAGCCGTAA